GCAGGGAGCCCGATGCGGGACTCGATCCAGGGACTCCAGGATCATGACCTGAGCCGAAGGCAGTCACTTAACCAACTGAGCCACCCAGGCGCCCATCACTGAATCATCTTTCAATCACAAAAAACTTCTGGCAAGCCTTGGGTTAGTCTTTCCCTTATAATATTCAGATATTAAAAAATACAATTATATTATGGCTATTTTACCAATCCTGAATCCTCCCATCAATTTTCAATAATTTTGGGGAGTGGAGGATGAAAAGTTTGTCCTCCGTGCTATAATCCCATTCTTCATGTGTTCACTGTAATGTGTGCTTCTGTGGAACCAAGAACATTGGGTCCAGCTCACTCACCCTACTAACTGGGCTCCATAGAAACAAAGCATCAAGGTGGATCTGGACTGCTGTACAGAATGAGTCAGGGATATAAGGTTTGAAGAAAACCTGCTAAAAGGTTCTGAGCACCCAATTCCTAAACTGGGGAGGAGAGGTGGGGAGTCCCCCACCAACCAACAATTATCTGATACCAGTTGGGTGTCCTATAATTCAACTCAATTCTGACACTCTCTACCTGGAGATGGCCTCCACTCCCAGAGGTGAATGGCTCAATCCTACAAGACTACTCTCCCCCCCTTCAGACACCAGTCACAAGCCCAGGTTGTCGCCGGTGCTTCTGACCACTGGCTATAGATTGGAGGTCCCAATGATTCCTCCTTGGGTTTGACTCATTTGCTAGAGCAGCCCACAGAACTCAGAAAAACATTTTACTTCCTAGATCATTGGTTTGTTATAAAAGGATATCACTCAGATGGAAGAGATGCTTAGGGCAATGTGGAAAGGGTGAGGAGCTTCCGTGCTCTCTAAGCATGCCACTCTTTCCAGATTTCCAAGTGTTCACTCCTTCAGAACTCTGTCCTCACTCTGGATGACTTCAACATTCCAGCCTCTCAGGTTCTTTGGCCTCCTTACCTCCAAAGACTTTATTTCTGTCTTCCTCACCACCCTGTCATTACCAGAAATTGCACTACATCTGAAATCTCAATTTTAAATCTTTTCTCCCAGCTTATTTACTAAAGTACCTCCATTGCCAATGTAAGCCCGCTCTGAGCTTCACTTCCCACCTTGACCCGACTGCATCCCACGATACATCGGTATAATACAACTCCCTTGCTCTTTCTCACTCAGACACTTGCCTTGAAAAACTCAAATTCTGAATAAATTCTACTATCTATCTGTTGTTTGACTGTACTGGAGCAGCTAGATGCTGTTGGAGAAACCCCTAAGCAG